ATATGTATGTATGGCAAATTATCCGATTAGGTACAATATTTAATAAATTTTAGAAATATTATCAATTTTTAAGAATGACTAAAGCTTTTTAACATTTTATTTATTAATAAAATAAAATTTTAAAAAACCTGAAAAGAAGATTTAAAAAAAAAAAAAAATTAAATTTCACTTTAATTTAATTTTTAATTAAAATTGATTTAAGAAATTACTTTCTTTAAAGGTTGTCTTTGAGCACATCAAATTTATACAGGAAAGTCCTAAATTAGCAATGTTGTAGATTACAGAAGAAAATACTGTAAGGTAACGACATGGCATCACTAAAAGCTTTTTGTTTAAATATGTAAAAAATCAAAATTTTGGGGTTGTTAAGCCTTTTTTTTTTTAAAAATATCCAAAGCAAAATAAATGCTTGACATTAACAAATTTTTTTTTTCAAGAAATTTACAACAATACAAAACAATTTATATTTTACAAAAAAAAATATATATATATATATATCTGTGTATGTGTGTTTGTCTGAGTGTATGTGTGTATGTATATTGTAGGAAAGAGTTTGTGGGAGTGTCATTGTGTGTTGTGTCTGGGTGTTTGTTGTGTGCGTTTGTGTGTGTTTCTGTGAAATTGTGTGAATGTTTCTATGTGTTCTTGCATGTATTGTGTGTGTTTGTGTGCATTTTAAAAACAAGCGAAATTGTTGTTTTAATTCAAAACTCAGAAACAAACTGATAGTAAATTAACCCAAATTTAAGGGTTCTGTATTTTCTTTAAAAAAAAAAAAAAATTAAAATTTTGAACCGTAAACTATAAATCGGAATTGAAAAACTCAATTCTATTTTTTTTGCACTTTTATTGAATAGGAATATTTAACTTCGTATTATTGATGTTAGCTCGATATTGAAGAATAGCATGTAGCAATATATAAAAAGAAATCAATTTTAATGGTCAACTTCAGGATGAAAAACTTTGAGGTAACTGTCCTGTACCCAGGAGTCTTTCCACTGCTGCATTTATATCACCGAATGTTGCTATTAAAGCTGCATAAAAAAAAAAAAAAAGTATTATTCATCGTCACACAAAATTTTATTCTTATTTGAATAAACTTAAAAAAAAAAAAAAAAACCTAATTAATAAATAACACACAATATACCTTGAAGATTAGCTTCCCTATTTAAAAATCCCATAGTTGACAATTGTTCAAGTTGTGTCCTATATCTTTCTTCTGGTGGTAGATTAGCGTTACCGCTTTGCTGGGCCATGCTAGCAATCTTATAAAACGAAAAAAAAAATTTTATATATTAACACAGAATTAGATAATAATATTTTTAGAGGTAAAAGTAGTAGGAAAAAGTACATACCATTCGAGCCATGAATTGAGAAAACATGTCTCCCGAATTAGAACTTGTTGTTGTGGATGTTGTTGTTGTAGTCGTTGCACTTGTCGTAGAAGACAAAATATTATTTCCGTTGGAATTTCTTGTATTTCCGCTTGTATCTATCAAAGGTGTTGTTGTTGTTGTTGTGGTTGTTGTTGCGGCTGTCGTGACGGCCGCTCCTACTGTATTATTTGCGTCTTCGGCAGAAGTTGTATTAACCGTTCCAGAGTTTGTAAATGATGGTACTGTACCGAATCCCAAACTAAAAAATTATTTATTGTTTACTCTATCAAATACATTTCAGCATTTGACTTATAATAATTTTTTTTTAAATTCCACAGTTTAACTAAACAAAAATCAACAAACAAACAAACATTGAATCAAAAAGTGTTTCATAATTTTTTTTAAAAATGCCTTACTTATTAACAAGACCAGGAACAGATGTTCTTAATTGCTCAAAACCTTGTTGAATTTGTAATAACGCGTTCAAGGCCTGGGGATTTGACATCATATTTTGAGTTTCGGGATTTTGAAGTTGCTGTAAAAAATGTGGCAACATCAATCTCATTTGTTCCTAAAAAAAAAAAAATAAATAACGAATAAATTTTATCATAATGTATCAGTGAAAAAAAAAAAAAAAAAAAAAATTAAATTTGAGCATTGAGTACCTACCTGCATTTGTGGATTTCCCGAAAATAAAGGATTTGCGAACAAAACTTGTTGGGCAACATCCGGATCCGCAGCAAGTGCTTGAAGTACGGATTGCGTGTATGGAGCAGATAACATGTTTTGCATTAATTGGGGATTTTCAATCATCTGTTGTAACATGCTTTGCATTTCGGGTGGGTTAAAGAGACCGGTTCGGGGAGATGTTGTAGTTCTCTGTTCGCCAGTACTTTCTGTTGTCGTATTACCACCCCAAGGATTGGGGAGAGGGGCCCTATTTTCAGTACCTTGCTGTGGATTGTTTCCATCTGTAATTAGACAGTAAAACCAATATTAATAATACTATCACAAATCAAAATTACTCTTACAATAAAAACCTCATCAATTATTTTACTTTGACTTTCATTTTTGAACTTTAAAAAAAAACTTTCAAATAATTACTTTATTTTTACAATAAAATTAAAAATATTGTTATTTAAACTTTAAAAATTATAATAGCATTCAACAGCGATCGATAATGATAATAATAACAATTGAATTTTATAGATAGCATAATTAACATAATCAGATAGAGATCTAGAATGAATGCTTAAAAACTCCGACTACGTACACAAAATCTTGTCGTGTTCAAAAGTGAAAAATAATAATAATAATAATAATAATATATTTACTATGCTAAAAACATATGATTTATTTTAAAAAATTATTATTATTATTGTTGTTCTTATACCTGAATTTCCAGTGTTTCCGGTTGAATAAGGATTCGTAGAAAATTGGCTAAGTGCTGCATTCATCATAGGCTCCTCAATTTCTCTATACATGCGAGTGAGAGCATTGTAGCCCCCTGGAATGGATTCAAGATTGGATATAGCTCTATCATTGGTTCTCATTAACTCTTGAAGCATGGCTGGATTTCTAACAAGATCGACAGCTTGATGAAGAAGTTCTGTATCGTTAAACATACGATTTAGTTCTGGATTTCTCTGAAATATAAATATTACAATTAGTAATTTTGATTTAAGAATCAAAGAATCAAAATTAAATTAAAATTAATTTTCATTCAGTAAATTATGTGAAAGAATAATAATAACATTCAAATATGTTTAAAGTGATCCTAAAATTATTAAATAAATTTTAGCGTTTCAGTTTATAAAATAAAAATAAACATAAACATAAAATCAAAACTATAACGAAAATACATATAAAAGAATTCTTATTTATTTCTGTACCCTAAAAAAAGCAATAATATTCATTGTAAATTTTAAAATCAATAAAATGAATCAGAAATTATTGCATAAATAAACAGCGAATTAATAATTAGCAATACTAAAATTGTAGGAATTTTAATAAAATTTCTGAAATACATACGCTAAACAATCTTATATATCAAAAAATAAAATAATAATATGAAAGATATGAAAAATCTTTTCTTAAATTTTTTTAAATTTTACCTCCATTAATTCTTCCATTTGTCTATTGGAAGTAATTAAACGTCTCATTATTTCAGGATTATTCATAAGATTTTGAATCATTGGATTATCCATAATTTGCCTCAATGCATCAGGATTTGACCTTAACTGCCTTTGCATTCTTTGTTGAAGCTCCATAATATTAGCGCATCCCATTCCTATATTATCTAAGCCAGGTAAACCACCCAAAATACCCAAACCAAATGGTGTTGCATTAACATCAGCTAAAAAATAATTAATAAATTGTTAACTGTAAATGATACTCGTTAAAACTATATGTGAGTATGTACTCAATACATAAAAATTCTATTATCTTAATTTAGTGATTGGAAAAAATGATAATTATTTGGAGCTAGTTTGGGAATATTAGGAGGGTGCAGCAAAACATTCCAGCCTAGCTCCAGTAGTTTTTGTCTAGTGGCTAAAGATGTGTGGAGCCTGGCATTATAGTGGTAAAAGACAATTCCTTTTTTTATAGGCTAGCTCAGGTCGTTTTTCTTGGATGGCATTATTTAAATTATTCAACTGTCGAATGTAAACCTTTATTGTCTGACTTTGTGGCAGCACCTCAAAAGTATACTATGCCTTTGTAATCCCGCCAAACTGATAACAGTACTTTTTTTTGGTGAATGTCAGCCTTAGAAGTTGTTGGTGCTTGTTTCCCTTGCTTAGAGCAGAATCTTTTCCTCGAAATGTTGTCATAGACAACCCACTTTTCATCACCGGTGATCATTCTTTCAAAAATGGGTCATTCACATTGTGTTTAAATAAAGCATATCACAAAGACCAAGTCGCCTCATCAACCCATGTTCCCCAAAGTTATGCATCAAGCTTCTTTTAGTACCCAAGATACCGCAGATGGTTTTTGACACACATATGTGACACATCTAGCTTTTTTGCAATGTCCCTTCTCAAACTATGCCGATCATTAACAATTACAGCCTTTATTTGGTCATCATCGACCTCCACTGAACCCCCAGAGTGCTCCTTTTTTTTCAAAGAAAAATCTCCAGAACAGAATTTCGCAAACCAGTTTTGACACTGCAGTTCTATTAAAGCTTCATCACCCTACACAGCCCACAACTTTGTATTGGCTTGTGAAGCATTAACACCCTTTCAAAAATAAAAAACGAAAATGTGGAGGAAATGCTCGCTTTGGCTCTCCATGTTTAAGTGCATTTTGCTTGTGCACTATTTAAGAGTTCAATTTTGGTACTGAATGTTACAGAAGAAACCAAATAATAAGATATCAAAAGCTCTTCTTGTCTGTGCAAAAATGTAAACATACTCAAAAACATGGACAAACTATCTGTTGGTAAAATCCATAATTACTTACTGGCCAACCCAATAATTTAAATTTTTTTATGTGAGTTCAAACAAACAAGTTAATAAATTGAAGAGAATATTTGGATTTATAACTTACCTGGAGGTCTAGGAGTGCTGTTCACTTCAGGAGTACGAGATCTAGCTTTTATTACTAAATGTACAGTGAGTCCATCTTTTATGTTATGAGTGCTTAAAGTTTCATGATCCTTCATAATTTTACCAGCAAAAATTAAACATATTTGATCCGGTTCGACATTAAAATTTTTAGCAACGTCTTCTTTAAACTGTAAAAATAAAATAAAAATAAAAATAGTTAATAAAAATAATATACTTTCCCAAGCTTTATAGTAATTTTATTAAAGTAGATTTATAGGAAAAGTTAGCCGAGATACACGAGTAAATTTAAAAATACTAATTCAAAATTTAAAAAAATCATAAAAATATCATTGAACTGTTTTTTTTTTTAAATAATACAAAAAGAATACACTAAAATTATTTCAGAATTGAGAAATATTGCATAATATTTTACTGCACTTAAATTTACCCAAAATTAGGCTTAATACGATGACGCACGTAAATTATAAAAAATTATAAACAGCAAATTTTTAAACGAAATTACTAAGTATTTATAAAATACTTACATCTTTTATTGAAGCATTTTCAAAACACTCAATAGTTCGTTTTTCTTGGGGTGTTTTAACGGTGATACAAATTTTCTTAGGAGCGTCCTGTCCTTCAGCCATTTTGTTTTAGAATGACTTGAAGTTAAAGTCAGTGCCTTAACGATTATTTAAAGTCGTGGCATTAGATAAAATGAAACAAAAAAAAAATGCAAACTATCTGCTAACTATTTCGATAATTTTTAAGGATTTAAATGTACTTACTTGATAGAAAATTATTTTTTTTAAAACAATTTGTCTTCAAAAGAACCGTTTAATTTTTTTATTCAAACACATATATTGATTGATCTTTAATAAAGAAAAATATTTAAGTTTAAATTGTAAATAATAATAAATATTTAACTGATACAAAAACCGATATTAACATTATCTTTGCTAAACTTTATTTGAATATTCTGATAAGTGAGCCTACTTAATAAAATAAATTTGATAAAGAAAAAACGGAAGTGGCTGCAGTGTAGTTAGGGTCAGCAGACTATGTTTACTAAATTGTCTGTTGTATTATAAGTGTTATAATATATTAAATTTAAAATACTGATTATAATTTTTTTTTTTTTATTTACTCATTATGTTTGTTTATAAAGTTTTTGACTATTCATTTTTTTTGCGTCAGAAACAACAGATATGTTTTAATGGTGTTAATCACTAAAATAAAATATTTGTTTATTTACAATTTTTTTTGTAAAAAAATGGCGGATATTCAAAAAAGGGATATTTTTCTGTAGTTTTTACAGATTATGGCGTATTCGGTATGTTTTAATCATTGATTATATATAAGGTATTTAAAATGTCTTTAGCGGTTAATTGAGTTTTAATTAATTTATTCTAAATTATTTTATATCTATCAAAATAATAAAATAAAATTTCATTTTGTTAAATCAACCATTACTTAGTTTTTTTTTTTTTTTTTTTTTGATTGTTCTTTGAAAACCAATTCACTTTTTAAATTGAGTAAAACTAATAAAATTAATTTTTTATTATACAAATTATATTGTTTACATCATAAAAAAATGTGTAATATATATATTAAGTTTTTGTTAATATTATCCAATTTTTTAAAACTTTTTTTCAAAACCGATTATGGTGATACTAGAATTTTCCCAACAGTACATTATATATATATCCATGCAGAAAAATAAAAAATTTTTATTAGTTTTTGTTTGAATGTTGTACCTTAATATAATACATAATGATTTATAATTTTGTTTTTTTTTAATATTTATATTTATAAGAATACCTTTTAAAATTTTTATGCAGAGTGTTCGAGTTCAATTTGAAATTGGTCATGAAGCATCTGTTCGTACCAAAAAAACCCCCGAAGGTTTCACTCATGACTGGGAAGTGTTTGTTAGGGGTGCTGACAACACAGACATTCAATATTTTGTTGACAAAGTCGTGTTTCACCTTCATGAAACTTTTCCTAAACCTCGAAGAGGTGTGTTTATCAAATTTAACTGCAATAATTTTTAATTGGTGTGCTTGTAATGTAAGTATCGTAAAATATATTTGCTATTAATAATATTCCTATTATTTTAGTGATTAAGGAATCTCCCTACATTGTAAAAGAATCTGGCTATGCAGGCTTTGTTTTACCAATAGATGTATATTTAAAGAATAAAGAAGAGCCGAAAAAAATTAGTTTTCAGTATGATCTCCAGTTGCAGCCAAGTGGACCTCCTATTTCTAGAGTCTTACGGGAACCTAGACTTTTTCAAAATCCATCAGAGGATTTTAGAAGAAAACTTATTCGGGGTGGAGGTGTAGGAGTTGACACTCCTTCGGAGGTACACTCAGACGATCTCAAATCTTCATCATCAATTAATTTAAATAGGTCCAAAGTGACAGACTCATTAATAAAAAAACACAAACCAGATTTGACACCAAATGATTCCTTTGCAGAACTATTTGGAACTCCTATTAGACGTGTATTGGAACCGAAAAAAACGACTGATATATCCAAAAAATCGAATGAATCCGACGATGTAAAAGATAAAAAAAAACCAAACAAATACAGTTTTAAAGATGAAAAAGAACTTGTTAAAGATAAGGAAAAGTTAATAGAAAAGGATAAAATTAAAGATCGAGAAAAAATAAAAGAAAAATCATTGAAAAGACTTCCGTCTCCGTCGAGTGTTGTTTCTCATTCCGTTAAATCTAGGGAGGAGTATAAAAAATACGAAGAGAGAAAGAAAGAAAATTATGAAGAAAAAAGGAAAAAAGAGAAAGACAAGAAAGAAAAAGATTCCAAGGATGTTAGCAGGCAGATGGACAAAGAGTACATAAAAGTAAAAAAAAATGCTAACGATTTGGATCACATGAGAAAAAACAATGCAGTTAAAAAGCATGAAGCCAAATCATCTTATGACAGGCACAATATTGAAAATTTAGAAAAAGAAAAAGAAAGGCCGGAAAAAGAAAAGCATAAGCATCGGCATAAAAAGAAAGAAAAAGAAAAAAGTAGGGATAAGGAAAAGCATAAGAAAGAAATAAAGGAAAAAGAGAAAAGCAATAAAAAAAAACATGATGATTCTAGGGAAGAAAAAGAAAAAAAGAAATCAATATCTTTATCTCCGATACAAGAAAAAATAAAGAAAAAACCGTTAAACGCTCTTTTAGATGAATTAGGAAGTTCCGATTCAGCATCTCCATTGAGCGAAGACGAAACGATCCCTTCGATTAAAATTCTTTCTAAGCCACCAAATAAAATTGTACCTGAAATAAAACCTCAACCAGTTGTAAATGTGAATCCTAAATTACAAAGTACAAATTTTACTGTTCAAGCGGAATGCAGAGCAGAAAAGGAGTTTGATAAAACTTCTAAAGGAAATGAATCAAGTCTTTTTAAAACTTCAAATGAAAAATATTCAAATAAAAAGAAAAAGAAAATCGAAAAAGACGATTTAAAACAGCAAAAAATAGTGACAAAGCAAAGTCCGCATTCAAATTCAAGCGAAAGAGAGAATGAAGAAATAGACAAAGACAGGCTGAAAGAAAAGAAAGATAATAAACAAGAAAAAGACAAATTAGACGGTGATAGGTCGCTATTTAAAAAAGAAAAAGAAAATCGAAAACGCAAAGGAGAAAAAAGTAAAGAAAAAAATTTCAAATCAAAAAAGAATATCAGTCAGGAAAATAGCCGAACGCCATCACGGTCAACGGAATCCGTTGATTTGTCTGATGGAGGAGAGGAAATTCGTAGATCTGATAAATTTACAAAAGAATATGTTGCACAATTGAGAGATTTACAGCACAGAATCATGTCGTTGGAAGATAATGCGGAACTTCAAAAAGTAGTCAAAGTCATTGCTGAAACGGGACAATATGAAATAACTAAAAAGACATTTGATTTCGATTTATGCGCGTTGGATATTGAAACGGTGAAAAGGCTGCAGGAATTTTTTTTACCAACATGACAGTAATTAATGTGAAAAAAAAAAAAAAAAAAAAAACAATAGAATACAGTTAATTATTAACATAAATTGATTTACACATAAATTTTATAATCAAAGAACAAACTGTGTGTTACTTTTTCTTATGTAAAAAAAAAAAAAAAAAAAACAAATTTATTAAATCGAGAGATTCAAAGATTAAAATTATATTAAGGTGAATAACTATTTATATGTAAAAAAGAATTAACGTTTAAAAAATATATTATAAGATACTGCCATAATAAATTAGTTATCGGATTTAGGCATTGTAAAAAAAAAAAAAAATGACTTAGACAGCTTTAAATTTTTAAAAAAATTATCAATAGTATAAATATTTATGATAGACATTTACCCCCCACCCCACACCCATACATATATATATATATATTGTATATATGATTTATTAATCAACAATTACATATATTTATATTTTTTTCTTGATGTCAGATGAATAAAAATTTACAAAAAGTAAAAAATTATTAAATAATACCGTTAGAGTTCCTCTAAAGTTAAAGAAAATTTAATCAAATTGTCACTCATAACAATATTATTTTGGTTTGCAAAAAAAAAAAAAAAAATTTATAAATTAAATTGAAAGTATTATGATATATATTTTATATTGCATTTTAATGTGATAAGTGTAAAGTGCGCGGTACTCGAAAAAATTTTAACATGATCTAATCAAAATATATATATTAAAAAAAAAAAAAAAGAAAATTATAAATAATATTTATTTAATAGCAAAAATTATTTGCAAATGTGTCATTTATTCAATAACCGTTATTTATTTATCCTTTAAAGTTAAATTGTAATTAAAGTCAATTTTTGTGTGGATATATATACACCTCTTATATTATTATATATACTTTGGACTAATTTAAAAAAAATATATATAATTATATTTTTTCTAGAAATTCTCAATTTTCTTTTATAGATAGTATTAAAATATGAATTAAAAAAAAAAGCTCAAAACTTTTTTTTAATCTTATTAATTGGAATATTTAGATTCATGATTTCAAAAAACAAAAAAAAAAATTTTAATTTATGTTATCTTATCACTCAACTAGGCGCAACATAGAAATATTTATATAAGTGAAAATAAATTTTCTTACTAACCGGATATAAAAATTATAATTTTGGTTTTTATTTCTGTTTTTCCAAAAAAAAAAAAAAAACAAAAGCACTAATTAAATAATAATTTAATAAGTATACATTCAAAAAAAAAAAAAATTTACAAAAATTTATACAAATATGTAAAATGCACTGACCCCTAATAAATTAAAAAAAAGGAAAAAGGAAAAATAGCAAAAATAAAAATTATCTATAACTAAACTAATTTCAAATTAAATTTAAAATGTAAATAAAAGAAAAAAAAAATTGTTTTTTTTTTTTTTCAATCATAATTGAATGTTTCTTTCTTTTAAATTAGTTTCTATCCATTTATTAAATTTTTCAACTATTTCATTGGGCATTTTTTCTTTCCATTCACCCCCAGTTCCTGAAAAAATTTTAAAATTTTACAATAAAAAAAAAAAAAAAAAAACCCATAAATCTAAATTAAAATGTAACTATAAGGAAAGTGTTTAAAAAATTTATTTAGAAAATTTTCCCTCATTGAATGTATGTAAATGCAACCTCAAGTTTTTTTAAATTATGATTAACTCGGTTTTTATAAATAATATATGCAAAAGTTCAAAAAAAAAAAAAAAATTTCTTTATATTTGACAATACAAACCTTTTCTCATGAACTCCCCGTCGGCGGGTATCAAATTATAAATCCTGTTTACTTCAAGGATGGCTTCATAATTAACGGATGGATTATTTTTCATGGATTCAAAACTTAAATGATGACATAAAGTTTTAATTTGTTCAGGTGATAATTTTTTATCAAGGAATTGTGCCGTTTGCTCAATAACACCCGCAAGATTCTAGAAAAAAAAAAAAAAAAAAAAAAAAATTGAAATTTTTATTGTTTATAAAATAAAACGTTTCATTGTGAGTTGATACCTCTTTTGACCTTTAATTCCCCCATATTTTTCAAAAAAAAAAAAATTAAAAAATATTTTACCTCTTTCATGTCTTCGTATTTAATAAAAAGAACGTTTGATTGATTTCGTCTTTTCCAAAAGCCCTCGATGTGAGACCAAAAGGGTGAAAAACAAACTTAATAAAAAAAAAATAAATACCGATTAAAGGGACAATAAATAAAACTTATACCTATTTAAAAAAAATTGAACAACATTTTACCAGAATCTTCCAAGAACAATTTGCAAAAATCATTAAAATTTCCTGTGTAACCCTCAAGAAGAATAGTATGATGAAAATAAGATACACAAGTATCTTTTGCATTCCGACAAACGTATATTATCTATATAGAAAAAAAAAAAAAAAAAAAACATCCGACCGTGAATAAGAAAAAATATTAAAATAAATAAAATATAAACAATAACAAACATTAAAGTTTATCGCGATTTACTTACCTTAGGTTGTTTATCTCCTTTTCGGATGCTTACAGGGAGTAAATCCCATGGTAAATGCGTCTTTATAAATCTCGTAGATTTTAAATTATTTATAAAATTTAGGGAATCTTTGACAAAAGGTGGAAGGTTTATATCGGGTTTTCTACGAATTACATCGGAGTAATCGAACAAACAAGTAAACCTGAAAAAAAAAATTATTATTATATTAAATCTCAAATAATTTTTTTTTTTTTAAAAAAAATCTCGTATAATAAACAATTGAAATTTGACTCACTCTAAAAATGGAAATCTCTCAGGAAGGAATTCTTTGGCTTTTTCAAAATCTAAATTGTTCATTATACACCAAACCATTTCTTGAGTCCATGTAGTTCCTTGAAAAAAAAAAAAAAAAAAAAAATTAATTTTATTAATATTAATTTAAAATAAATAAATAATTTAATAAAAAAAAAACTTACATAAAACGATGCGAAAGAGAAAAAAAAATTAGTTTTACCTGTTTTCGGATAACTTATCACCCAAACATCTTCATTTCTCACTTCAAAATTTTCTACTTTATCTGCGTAATTACCATAATGACTCGGCAATGTTACTCCTCTGTATCTTTTGTACCCGTTACGAAGAGTACCTAAGAAATATTTTTTCAACAATTCTCCACATTCTCCATCGATACTTTCTCCAGATAAATCACTCATATTTATACCTAAGGTAGTATGATTGTAAATTTTAAACTCGTCAATCGAAATCAAATACAAGTAAAAATTTAAATTTAAAAAAAATTTTTAATTTAAATAAAAAAAAAAAAAAACCTGTTGAACAAAAAATTAATGATAACACAAATTTGTATTTAAAAAAAAAAAACAAATATTAAGCACCTAAATATATACACTTGAATACTTGTTGGATTTTTTTTTTTTATTATTTAATTATTATAAAATATTTAACGCACTTTTGTCTCTTTAAAAAAAAAACCAGAAGAATCGAAATATAACGAGATTGCCAATTTTAATATTTTATTAGGACATAAACAATAATTACGAAACTCTATGCTTAAATAATAATATTTTTCAACATACGAATTTTAAATTTCATTTATTTTTATTATTATTATTATTTGTATAATATATAAAAATTAACTTACTTGTTTAAAATATAACTATTTAAATAAATATAATTTAAAAAAAAAAATAAATAAATTTGTTAAAAATAAACACGACTAAAAACTAATAAACTCAACAACATTGAAGTGAATGTTAAACGTTGGCGTTACGTAAAGACACTAAACAAGTTAAGCCACTCCCACTGAATAATTTCACTTATAGCAAAAACATTTCAAATTAAAAATTATTATCAAGGTTAGCGGCTTATTTTTTTTTCATTTCTATTACACTTTTTTTTATATATATAAATAATTTTTTTTTTTTTTTTTTATCGATAAACCAAAGTACGGAATCTGTTTTTTAAATAAACTTAAAATCAAAAGACCCGCAAGTAATAATAATTCATTGAATTGGTAAAAAACATGAAATTTAGTTATTATTAATAATATTTGATTTTTATTAAAAAAAAAAAAAAATTCTCGATAATTAATTAAACATTAAATTAACATGAATCAATTATTTTTTTTTTTTTTTTTAGGATAATCGATTCTTATTAATTTAAATTTTATATAAAAATATGAAAAGAAATAAAAACAAAACAAAAAAAAAAAACAATTTTTTTTTTTAATATTTATTTACAAATTAACATTTATAATTGTCAAAATATATTTTGAGATCATAGATTTTATATTTACAAATACTTTTTTTTTTTTTTTTTTGTGGAAAAAATTAATACTACGAATGAGAAAAAATCATTTATATAATTAAATGGGATTAAATTTAACATTGCTATTAATAAGATAATATAATTAATAATAATAATAATAATAATAATGAAAAATCGGTAAAAAAAAAAAAATTAATAGTTTTCTTTTGTTTTCAATATTCTTAAAACTGAAAATTAAATTTTGAAATATTTTATTAAATTTATAATAATTATTAATCCTAATAGAAAATTTCATACATAATTTTTAATTATTCGAAAACAATATTTAAAATTAAAAAAAAAAAAAAAAACAATGTCGTATATTAATTAAATAAAAATAAAATAACGGGTAAAACACAAAAAATTAATAATAATAATAATAATATTTTCATTATTTTAAAATTAAACGCATGAAAAGGCCTCGCAATTAAGAAAATAAAATAAATAAATTTGTAATAAAATAGTTTTTCAAATTAAAAATAAAAAAAAATTTATTTGATCAGGATCGATACCTGACACATAATAAATTTAATTTATCGAGACGAGTAACGCAACGGGAAACCTTCCTATGGAATCAAAATTTCATTTGAAAAAATGAAAAAAAAAAAATTTATGTAATTATTTCATCAAATTTTTAGATTCCGTATACTTCTATTATTATTATTATTAAAAAAAAAAAAAAAAAAAGAAAAAGAAAAAAATAATTACACACATTGCAATCTTTTAAATAATGCATATAAAATTTTTTTTTTAAGTAAAAAAAGGACACTTCTAATGTTTTTTATTATTTTTATTTTTTGTTAACAGTAATAAAAATAGAAAAGATAGACAATATTTTTCAATCAATCAATCAATCAATCAATCACGCTAGAATAGTTTTAAAAAAAAAAAAAAAAAATTTTTTTTTTTTATTTAGCCTCGTAATCATGTATTCATTTTCTTTTTCTTTTTTTTCTTTTTTTTTTGTTGTACAAAATAACTTAATAAGCGCTAAAAAAAAATTCTACTGATATAATTCCTACAAATATAAGGCAAGATTTTTTTTTTTTTACAAGTTTTTATTTAATATTAAATTATCATCGTAAAAACATATAAAAAAAAAAATTAAAAATTAAAAATAAATACACTTATTAATTTAATGGTATTATTCGCTTAATGCTCGTAGTACAAAACTTTACATTAAAAAACCCGTATAATTATAATTTTTTCCACAATTTACGCACAATTTTCTTCTTTTTTTTTTTTTTTAAATAAATTTACGCAAACATTAATAATTTATTGTTATTGTTATTATTTTATTTTATTTATTTCTTGTTTATTATTGACTGAAACACTTTGAAAAAAAAACTAATGAGCCTTCGGTCAATACATAACTTCGTAAACAGTTGCTTTTTTATCTCCTGATCCCGTGACTATATATTTATCATCAGCAGAGATGTCACAACTTAGGACGGATGATGATTCTTTTGACTGAAAACATTTTTTTATTTTATTTTCAACTATGCCTTTTTTTTTTTTTTTAATATACCCAATTTGTTTATAAGTTACATTTCTAAGTTTTATACTATACTAACTATTAATTTTAACTCCTCCCCCTCCCCTCCCCTTCCCGAAAAAAAAATTCACTCCTTGACAAAATAACTCTATTAAATCAATAAAGGGAAAACCCTGTGAGATCCGCATGGCCGTGAGAGTTTGGGTTATTGCTTGTAGGCAAGCGTAAATAATAATAATAATAATAATTAAAACAAGTTTTTTTTTTTTACTTACTTGAAATATTGATGCTCCGTATGGTGTTCTCCAGGCATTGAGTAAATTGTCTTTTCCAGTTGACACAAACCATTTTCCACAAGCAGCAAATCTTAAAGACAGAACACAAGATTCGTGCAAATGAAGTTGATATTTATCAGGTTTTGTCGCGTGTAAAACTTCAACATTTGAATTTTCCATTCCGACGGCTAGCCATTCACCAGTGGGACAATATCCTAATGAAAATATCTGAAACAAGAAATAATATTTACATTTTCCGTCTAATTTTTTAAATTAAAATTTAAAAAAAAAAATTTATCCAAACCTGTGAAGTGAAGTCGTGTTGCTGAAGTTGTCTTCCTTCTCTCAAGTCCCAAGATCTTACTGTATTGTCCAACCCGCCGGTCCATAGCTTTGTACCATCGGCCGAAATATCAATGCAAGATGCACCATCGGTGTGACCTTGAAATTGTCTCACTAATGTTTGATTATGTAGATCCCAGACAGCTATATTTCCATCAGAGCAACAACTAAAGCATACCTGTAATTAATAAAAAAAATCATAAGTAAATTAAACTTTTTAAATTTAAATTTGACAAACAAGATATGTAAATAAAAATATCGTTAAGCTCCTGATTTTTTATTATTGTTTAAAATACACAAGTCGGTAAAATATATATAAACAATACGTGCAGATTATATTATTTGTAAATTAAACAGAAAGGTAAAAAAGAATTATTCATACAGATTATTTAACAACGTTAGAGATAATACACTAAAAAACAATATTAAAATTTGTTTAAAATTAGATAAAATTATATAACTATATTGGTTGTTGTTATAATTTTTTATCAGAATAACATATAATTAATTTATCATAATACTTTATCAGTGTTACATTTAACACAAATAGTAAACGTTTAACGACACGCAAGAGGAAAAATCAAAAGAATTTTTTCAAAGTTTTTTAAAACTGATAACTTCAATACCTTAGAATCTGGACTGATGGCAAGGGCATAACATGCCGGAGCACTTGATGTCAATTCGGCTTTGATCCTTGGAGTAGGTGATGCCAAATCCCATATACTCAAATTACTTGCTTCCCCTCCCACAATTAGAGTTCGCCCGTCCGGTAATAATTTAACAGATCTAATGTAATTATCTCTTTGCTGAAAATAAATAAATAAATCTATCAGAAATATACAAATTACAATTTCCAAAAAAATATTTTTTTATTCGAATAAAAAAATTGTTTTTTTTTGTTGCGAGAAAATTATAGAAATCTCGTTTATTAAAAAAAAATGAAAATTATTATCATTATTGTTTATATTGAAATTAAAACTATTTTAATTTATTATAATGGGAAAGTAATACAAAGACATTTTCACTTTGTTTATTTTTCATCTCCATTTCAAACAGTTGAAAAAATATTTTTTTGTTAAAGAGTTTATTGTTACATTTTTATTTAAAAAAAAAAAAAAATATTTTTGATCTTTTATTTTGACCTGACCTATTTTTAATGACGCTCAGTTTTATAAAACTCTGTCTGTTGTCTCCTGTTTTTTTTTTTTTTTTATTAAAATTATTTTTTATTTTTTTTATTTTATTCGTTAATTAGAACAAATAAAATAAAATGCTTTAATTGAAAAATATATACCATAAATACATTAAATTATTTTGGTAATTAAAAAATTGTAAAAATATCTTACCAGACAATCGAGTTGAGATACCGCACTTTTACTTCCTGGTTGACTTATATCCCAGACTTTGACACAACCCTTCCCGCCTGTGTAAACGTATTTTGTAGGATTAGATATAGTAACGGCACACACAACTTCCCCGTGACTTAGGGTGTTAATTTGTCTGGCGTGTCGTGGAATTCCTGGACCAATTAGGGCATCTGGTGGAAATGGCACTGGTTGCATTTGTCCGTCGGCAGAAACGTGAAACGAATAAGCTCTTTATTTTTACAAAAGAAAAAAAAAGAAAAAAAATTATTTTATTTTATTTTTTTCTTGTGGTTGTTTCATAACAAAAAAAAAAAAAAAAAAAAATTCATTTCTTACGGTTTCCCGCCTGGTATTCCTCCCAACGCGGGATTTAAGGGAGCTCTCATATGAGCAACTTGGGGAACTTGTGGATCATAGCCAACGAGTGATGGTCTGGGATAGTTATTGAGAGCTGGAGGAAGGTTATTATGTAATGCACCGTAAGCTCCTGCCTGAGCTAAATCGTGAGTAGGAGCACCCGCTAAATAATGAGGGTAACCGGCTGAAAATAAGTCAACTGAACAATTTTAATAAATTCTTTTATACTTATTTCATATGCTGAAAACTATGTTTAAAAAAAATTAACAACTTAATACACTACCTAATGAAGGAGGCTTGGTCGCCGATTTCATACCGCTAACTCCAGAAACACTATTAGCGCTACCCCCACTTGTGGGTGTGACAGATTTTGAAATTGGTGTCGTCGGTTTTTCATTATCAATTTTTTTCGTAGAAGGTGTACTAGCATTAGATGAGGTACCACTTCTAGGGCTAAAAATAAAAATTTTTTTTTTAATGTGTGTGCGTTATAAAAATATAATAACAGAATATTGGGTAAATAAAAAATTGCACTCACCTATGTGGTCCAGCATGTTCTTTTTTAGGTGCTAATTTATCTAAACCATTTTCTCTAGGTGAAGCTGTACCATTATGTGGAGATACAGGATCTTCACTTTGATCGTCTACAACTAAGTCTTGATCGCTTTTCTCTCCATCACTTCCATGTCCATCTTTCTCCTCTTTTTTTAATTTTTTTATATCAGGTTCAGCTGGGCTTCTTGGTCTGTATTTTTCCCGTTCAGCAGGAGAAATCGAATTCCTCTTTAAAAAAAAAAAGAAATAAAAATTTTTTAGTATTGTTGTCAGCTACTTGTTATCATTTATTTCGGTTTCTTACAAAATATTAATTTTTTAAATTTATATAAAATGGTTTTAAGTAATTAAATATATTAAACTTGAACAATAAGGTGTTATTTTATTTTTTTTTTATCCTATTAAAATAAAACGATGAAAAACTTATAGACGCAAAAAAAAAAAATAATAATAACTAATTATAAATGATAATTTCTACAATTGGGATTTATAAATAATAATGAAGAATTTAAAACTCTTATTTTTGGAAATTCCTATATTTTTCAAAAGGAAATATTTTCCTTCAACAGTTTTTATATATGAAATTATAAAATCTAAGAATAAAGTAACACATGACATTTATATTTTATATTTAATAGTAAATAACCGGGTATTTTATTATTATTATTATTATTATTATTATTAAAAGACTAATTAATAAAATGAATAATATTTATAATTTTAAATCAAAATATTAATTGTTGAATATTGAATTAGAAATTCAATAAAGATAAAATAAAAAATAAAAAACTTTACTTACATGCCGTTCATCTGAAGAATTCAGGCCTGGCCGCATCAATTTAAGAAAAACCGAGAAAAAAAAAATAAAATAAAATAATCATTAGAAACAAACATTTTAATTTTAAAAATTGATTTCACACATGGTTTTATGCCATTTATTAAAGTAATTATTACTTTATTGAAGAAAAATAAAATAAAATAAACCACTGTCCTAAAATCGAGTTGTTTCATCAGGTTTAAACTAATTTAATTTCAAATTAAAATTTACTCATAAATTTTAGGATAAATTATAAAAATAATTAATAATAAAAAATTGTGTACAATATACACATTGCATATAAAAACTATTTTGTAAAAAGAAACCTTCCTGTTATAATATTTTTTTAAGAGCATATTTGAACAGTTAAAAACCAAACATTTAAATTTACTCTAGAAATTAAAGCTATTAAATTGTTTTTTTTTTTTTTTTTTTTTTTTTTTTTACCCACAATAAAAAATAAACAAAAATAAATATAAATAATTTTTTTTTTTTTTGAAATATTTTGCACGAAAAAAAAAACCAATAAACTAATTAAAACTATAAAAACCATTCTATAATTTATCTCACATTTAAATTAAAAAAAATCCTATATATTTAATATTTCGGATTGGTAAAAAAAAAAAAATTTTTAAGCCGGGTTAAAGGGTTAAAAAATTAAAATTGTAACTCTGTGATGTACTTTGAGTTGAAAAAATTTAACATACCACTATTGTATTTTACGTGATCCGAATTAATGTCTGGTTTAGAAGCTAATATGCTGAGAGGATGTGGTGTCGGGCCCCCGAGAGCTCCGAGAATTCCTGCTCCAGCACTCGGAGGCCCCGGAAGTCCCGGATGAGGCATCATTGGAATGGGCGGAGCATGGGCAGCATGCGGCAGTTGCTGGGCGTGCATTTGTTGCTGAAACATAATTAAAAATATAATACAAATTTTGTAAATTATTAATTATAATATTAATACATGATAACACTGATAACCCCGATCTCATCCTCGTTCAGAGACTTAAGAAAATTCGTCGAGTAAAAAAGTATAGGTAGAAATAATAATAATAATAATAATCGGGCCTGTTCGTTAAATTACACACTGATTACACACACACAAGACCAGAAAAAAGGAATATAGCTTTTAAAAGAAATAAAAAAAAAGTGCAAAAAATACTAACCAATAATCGAGGTAGATCAGGTCGTTGTTGCTGTGAACAAAAACAAAACAAAAATATTTAAACGAAATAAGTTAGAAGACTTGAGAAACAAGAGAAGAGTATAAAATAAATATACATTTTTTTTTAAAATTCCCCACTATGCATAATGACAGTTTTTTAAATAATAATAATAATGCCTAAAAGCAAAATTAATTTTTTAAACAAAAAACCTTCCAAAGAAAAATCTTGACTAATTTAATTAAAATTTTTGCCATAATTACTTAAGACATTGACTACAATAAATCAATACTAAATACAGCACATATAAATATTATATAAAATAAAAATAACTTAATTTTAAAAATTAATTAAAAATGAAACTATTAAATAAAATTTTCTTACTCGTAAATATTTTAAAATTCTACTTTTTGTTTTCATTTTTCCGCCAATTATTAATTAGATACTATTAATTTTAATTTTTAAATGTTGTTCTTATTATTAGTATAGTAAAATTTTGAAAATTAAAAAATTAAAAAATTTTTCATTTAAAATTTATGTAGTTAAAATTTTTAATTTTTTTTTTTTTTTTTAATAAAGAGAGAAACAATATTTTGTTAATGTAGATAATAAAGACCATGATTCGACTGCGATTTAAACTGCATTAAAATATTAAATCGTATTTATAGACATTAATCACGCAGATAATTATAATTATATAAAAATATTTTACTCGAACAATTTTTATAGCTTTTAAAATTTTTTTTTTTTTTTTTTTTTTTTTTTAATGAGAAAATAAGGAAGATTTCTACAGGCTAAAATTATTATTTCGCTTATGTGGCATTAATAGAAACGAAAGAAATAATATTTATAATTATTATTGGTTAAAATCACCCTTTAGAAAATGAAAAATGTCGATCCAACTAGTAATCGTATACGTATAGAATTGTCTTTAAGGAAAAACAAATAAAGAATCAAATTTATCCAAAAATTATGCATATTAAAAATAATAAATAAATAAAAAAATATAGGGGGAGGGGGAGTATGTCTAAATAAATTTACATTAGAAAAAATAAATAAAATTTATGTGCAAAACACGCATTTAAAAAAAAAAAAAAAATTTCAATCAATTAATTTAAAATCATAATTAAATAAACAAATAAAAAAAATTCTACAGTGAATGCAAAAACGAAAAAAAAAAAAAAAAATATTTAAAACCAAATTTCAATTTCTACATCTAAAAATATATATATATATATATATATTTTAAATAAAATTTATTATATTAAATTAACTTGGAATCCGAACAAAAAAAAAAAAAACAATGAATGTTGACAATGGAATTAAGAAAAATTAACCTGACATGATATCAATTGCTTAATAAAATAAAATAAAAAATATATATATATATATTTTTTTCTTGACAATATCGGTCTGATTTATTTGCTTTTGTATAAGACAAACAAAGTTAAATGACGTGGGTAGTCGATAAGCTACACGCAGGAAGCACAGAAGAGAAAAATCGGTTATGTTTGCTTCTACTTGTCAACTGTGTAAATTCCTCGGCAGATGTTTGCTTAGGATATCTAAATTCATATTAAAATAAGTGCGGCGTCATAGGTTTTTTTTTTTTTTTTTTTATACATTTTGTGTATATTGAGTTTCAAATTTACACAACAAAAAAAAAAATAAAAATAAAAAAAATGGATGAACCGCAATATTATAATAATGATAAAATTATAAATAATTTTTTTTTAATATTTGGTGAATTAAATGCGTTGTTTACTAAAGTATATATACACAAAAAGAATTTTTACTTCATAATCTCTCATTGTGTTTAATGTCTAATGTTTACTTAGACGTAAATATCCGTCCGTAAATTAAATAATAATGAAAAAATACCAATTCAGGTTTCCGAATATTTTTATTATCATCCCGAGTAAAAATTTTAGGAAATTAAACATGATTTTGGATTCATTTACCCGATTTGCAAAAAGTCTTTAAGGTAAATAAAAAGTATTCATGATTGGCTACTAAGTAAAATAAAAAATTGAATTATTGTAATTAAATAATTATCAGAATAAAAATTAAAAAATCTTAGAGTAACAGAAATAATTAATTGACTAAAATGGAAAGGGGTTAATGCCAAATATGCAAAAACTTGCCGGAAGTTCATCATTTTGAAATATTTGATTGTTCGACCGCAGGTAAAAATGAATTTATAAACAAGCCAAATAAATTTTGGATATATTATTTCAACTGGTAATTGTGTCGAGAATGACGAAAGAGAAATTTAATAAAGAATAATAATACAGTTATATTATATATTTTTTGCACTACTTTACACATTATCCAGAAATTCTCATCGTGCAAGCCAGCAAAGCACAAACTTTAAAAATAAAAAGACCGAAGAAATAAAAAAAAAAATTTTTTTTTTTTTTTGTAAATCTGTGAAAGATGAAATTGTTCACAAATGCCGTATAAAAAAAAAAAAAAATAGAACCGCTGACAACATTCATCTAGAGAGCTTTACATTTTGACGCACATAAAAGACGCACCATATTACGTGGGGCACAGTTCACATTTTTAAGGGAAAAATTTTAAATGGATCATAAACACCAAAACATCATACATTCAAAGAACCCTTTATTCAAATATTCATTCTCGAGTAATAACGGGCTAAAACTTGAAATGAATATTCAATTCCGACGGTATTAACAGTGTTAGTCGTGTTTACAAAAAAAAAAACAAAAACAAAAAATCTAAATAAAAATTTCCGTTTTAAACGATAATATTTGTTTAAATATTTTCAACGTATAATTCACATACTATATTGGACTGTGTACAACGAATAGTCAAACATCTCTTACAATACTAATTCACAAGATTTTCTCAAATGAACAATTTTTTTTTCAACCAATAACATAAAAAAAGTTTATAGAGTAATGGCATTCACTCCAACCTCCTTTTCTCCTCTACCTCGTGAAGACAATTTGTATTTATGTTTACGCATAATTTGTTTGAAATAAATAAAAGGAAGTAAACGAAGGGACAATATGTAACAGGAGGATAAATTTCAAATTAAACAACTCATCAATAATAAAACAAATTATCGTAAGGCTCTCTAAATGTTTGTGGGTTAAATAAAGATTTTATAAAGAAAAAAAAAAAAAAAAAACCTTGTAAAAAAATATTAAAATTTTCTTACCCCGATTATGGCGTTAAGTTCAGTCATCGTAACTTGCTTCGCTCTTTCTACTGCTGTTGCTACCTGCTGTTGATGCTCTTGAGAAAGGAATGGTAATATCTGAGCAATTATTGCATTTAATCTTTTAGCTATTTCAGTCTGAAAATAAAATTAAAAACATTATTTTATAATTTATATAAGTCACATTTTTATTATTTGCATTTGAATTTTAAACAGATTTAAAAATATTTATTTTTACATTATGTTTTTTTTTTAATAGGTTTAATAAAAAAAAAATATTTTTTCCCTATTTAATTTAAATTACTTGAAATAATAGACCAATTAAAAAAAACTTTTATTAATAAGTAAATAAATTCTTTATGTGGTATACAATATATTTCTATTTTTTATTTATAGTAAATAATTAATGATACTACATAATGTTGATTATTAACTAGACAATATCACAAAATAGAAAATGGCAAATGAAATCATTACTGAAAACAACACAAATTAAAATCGTTGAAATACTTTTCTTTTTTTTTTTTTTTGAGATACACCATTCGCAATAAGTAGAAATATTGAATTCGATTGACAATAATATATGATAATAATATTTTCAAGATTTTCAATTTTTTTCCCACTAGTACAAATTATTACAAAATACATTTGACACCATAACTTAAAAAAAGAAAAAATTGTATTTCAGAAGAGCAACACACAGTGAAAAACGTTTCTATTAAAAAAAACTTTCGTTCTATTCAAAGCCATTTTGTCACAAAAAAAAAGCTTTTAAAATTGATATCCCGGAATTCCCGAGAAACTTCATAGACGTTCAGAGCAGAACGCAAAAAAGAAAACTTTATTACTAAACTATAATTACTAAATAAATAACTGTTGAATATTGAAAAAAGTAACGTGTTCAGGTATATAATCTTTTCATAATGTTAGAAAAAATTTAATTTATTTATAGAAATCATTAGTGTTTTAATAATTGCATTCATTACACACTCATATAACGTTACACAAACAGGTGAATAATAAAACCGAAAATATATGCTAATTGTAAAATTTTTTTTCAATTATATAATTAGTAATATTATTAAAAATTATTAAATTGTCAGTATTAAAATTACGTTTATTATATTCAAATGAATTAATTTTTTAAATAGTTTTAAAATTATTCACACTGTATGCAAAACTAATAATATTTATTTAGTTCTAAAAAAATAAAAAATAAAAATACAAAGAGTATTGAAAACAACTAAAAACTATCTGAAAAATTTGTAATGGTAGATAATGTAAGGAAAAATTTTTTTTTTTGAATAAAATTTATAAATAGTATCAAAAATTTACTAGACCTATTTCCCCCCTTACAATTCATTGTTGATAGAAAGTATACTTTTATATTTGTGCAACCTGACCCTTTTTAAAAATATAATCACACAATAAAAGTGAAAAGAGTGAGCAGCCTGTAAATAAAAGGATCTCACCAAAAAGAAACCCTCAAAGATCCGGCTTTTGCACAAAAGACAAAATTTGAAGGCAGGAGTTCACACTAATTCAATTTTTTTTTGCTTTCGTCCCTAAAAATCTTTACAGATTTTTACTTTACAACTGATGTTCTTCCAGATATAATAATAATAATAAAAGGTTTCGATATTGATAAAACTCAAGTTTAAAACTCTTTCAACTTTTCTCGTAAACTTATATTTGTATTTTGGGTTAAATGTTGGTACGCCATCATGTTTTAGGGAGTCAATAGATTTTGTTAGATGGTACAAAGAGTCTGCATAAAAAATAATAATGAATTTAATGGAATGCCTGTAGATCTTAACATGCATTGTATTTGTCATTCCCTAAAAATTACAATGTCGCAACATATACAACATTTATAACAACAATGAAATAATATAACAATAATAAAATTATATCAATTTCTTTTTATAAGGATTTGAAAATTTTTAATTTTTAAATGTAAAAATTGAAAAAAAAAAAATTTACTTTTTTTTTTTTGCTATAAAAATAATCATCACTAGTCTGAGATTTTAAAATGGACGGTTTTTGCAATGAATTGTTCAAAATGACAAAGATATACAATAAGAGTGAATTTTTCATAACAACCGATTAATTTTATGTAATTAATAGTTTTTTTGTTGGTTTGAATTAAATGTGTTGTTGTTCACTCTAGTGTAATAGAATAATTATACATAGATAAATTGGTTAAAATTTCAAGTGAATCAAGAACAATTTATATATATTTACTTTAGTAAAAACATGAGCAGTTAATTAATTATTATTATTGGCATTGTTGACAATTTCATTTAAATATTTAAACATTTGTAAAAGAATTTTTTTATTAGTATAGAATTTCTAATGAAATAACAAATTGTTCACGTGTACTGCAGTTTATATCTTAAATTGCATACTAATATTACATTGAAATTAGTCATTTACAATAATAAATTGTTAATTTTTCTTAATAAGTCAACTTAATAATTTAATTATGATTAAAAAAAAAAAAAAAAAAATTACTGAATGCCAGCAACAAATATGAAGAAATAATATTAAAAATATATTAACAAATTTTTAAGTTTTCTAAACAACACTTTTGCATTTTTATTTTTAGAAGAATTTTTAAAAATTTTAATTAGCTCAATCAATCTACAAAAAAAAAAACAATTAAAAGGTAAAAAAATAAAACTCCACGCTCATGAATTTATTTACCGATAAAAAAAAAAAAAAACTTCCTAACTTTAAATTTCAACCCTTAATTTTTACTTAGTTCCAAATATTGCAAAAATATTTTTTAATATTAATAAAAAATATGGTTTTAAGATTTATAAACAAAAATAATAATAATAATAATAATAAGAGATAATAGTGCTCACCTGTTGGTGCATTTCTACATTTAATCCATAAGACATTTCATAATACTGAAAAAAAAAAGAATAAAAATATAATTTAAATAAATAAAAAAAAAAAAAAAATTATACGAAATTTTAAATTATTAAGCGATTGAAAAAATTTTTAATGATAAACACACCCGCCCGAACACACGCACACTTTATGTATAAACAATTTCCTTCCTTTATCACATAAAACACATATTTAAATTTATTTATATATATTTTCTAATTACTTTTTCTTTCGTTTGATCAGCACTAATAATATTGAATAATTATCAAAAATTAATGACTAGCAATTTAAAAAAAAAAAATTTTTTAATTAATAAATAAACATTTTTCTCCAACAAATTTTAAATAATGTTAAATAAAAAGGTTAAAAGGTTAAAAAGTTAAACTTTTTGTGAAAACAACATCCTACAAAAAGTTATAAGAAAAAAAAAAAAAAATCATTCTACCGAATCAAAACTGATATGAATTTTCTATTTATTGTTGTTTTTATTTGCATTGTGTTAAAAATTATTTTCTTATAAATAAAAGATAAAAATTTACAAACATAATATTAAACTTTTTTTTTTTTTTTTAAATTTCCTAATAATAATAATAATAATAATAAAATACATTTTTATTAAATTTTTGATATTATTATTCGGCTTATACTAAAGTCAAATATGATTTAAAAAAAGCTACAAGTGTAAAATTAAAAATTCATTATAAACGATTAATGAATGTTGTAAAAATAAAAAATAAAATTTAATTTAAATTATTGATTTGACCAATTAAAACATGTACTAGAATAAAGTAATACTTACCATAACATAATGTCTTTGCATTTCCGTTTTTTCCTGGGCTAATTTTTCTATCTCCAATTTTAAACTTTTCCAATAGAAAACAGGAGGCGCAGCAATTAAAGTTAAGCAAAGCGAAAAAACAAAAAAAAAAAATTATTGTTAATACACTTAACATGCATTTTTATTCATTATTCAGTGTATATTAATGCTTATAATAATTAACGCATTTGTAAAAAAAAATTCATAAGTTATAAATAAACTTTTCTTCGCGAGTGAATAAATAATATATTTCCCAAATTTTTTTTTAATAGGATTATCATATGTACACTGTGACGAATAATTATATTTTCAATTGAATGAGTTATTAACGTATATCATCAATTAATCAATCCCGAAACAAAATGAATTATATAAACAACAAACAATTGTTTTTTTTTTTTTTTTTTTTTTT